GCCATTCATTTGATGCCCTTTTTCGTTTTTGTTGATTTTTTTTTTCTTTAGGAGGGACCTCCAGAAATCGGTAGGATACCACAAAAAAAAAACTGATCGGGATACCGAAGTAGCCCTCACCCCCGCAATTAGAAAAGAAGATTCAATATCAAGCTCAACATTGAAAAACAGACAATTTCAACCTCTAACGAGCTAGAATATCTGTAATTGTATATTAATGAAGCGGATAATAATTATCATATCAATTATTGATCGATAGCTGAAGACAGATATTTCTTTCTAATGTGTTTGATGCCCTTTCATCGTGGATTTCATATACACAATACCAAATCAGAGAGATCCATCCTACTAACTGCCACTTGCAAATAGGTTCGATTTTTTTTGGCGAAATTTAGATCCAGAGATTGCTTAGCAAGGGGCGTGCTCGGTTTGGTTATCTGGGCTTGATTGCGACTGGAATTCGGTTGGGATGGATTCGAGAAGACTTTACTGGTTTGAGCCAGGATGTCAAGCATCATGACATAAGAATGCGACGGCTGAGGGAGTACTTTTTGAGATCGGAGTGGAACTCCAGACATACATACACAGCACATTCTTTTAGATAGGTGTTGCGGATGACGATCAGGGATGCGAATTTGAATTCCTGTAAGTTGCTTGCATAGACGTGTGCATTATTTCTGAAATTCCGTGCTTTCACTGTGCATGATTAAATTGGTAAATTTTTGGAGAGCAAAAAAAAAGAATTCTGATTATAAACAAAAGTGGATGTAATGCTAGCCAGTAAGCATTAATTTTCAATAAACGTTTTGACAGCTAGGTCGACAAGCAGAAACACCCATAAACACCTTCCGACACCCTAAAACACACAAGAAACACAATTACCCCCCGTAACGTGGGTGGATCACCTTTTCGTGGTACGATAAGGGATGTAAGATCTGCCACCGATTCCTAGTCCTGACTACTTCAAACTAGGGGAACAGGATTTTTCAGTAATCAAAGGAACACATCTTAGTCCTTGTTACTTTTTATGCCTTGTTGATAGTGATAAGACTCGACTTTGTCCACCGAGGATTATCTTGAAAAACAAGGAAAAAGGGGGTTAATTAGTCTTCATCTATGTGATTCCTAATCTTATATTCGTTGTTCCATAATTTGAAGTGCTTAAGACTAGGGTTCTGATGCATGGTCGGTGTCATTCCTTAATTTTGTTGCTAAGGAATCCAATTTTGACTGACAAAGGGGCGTGCCTTTGGAGGGTGTTTCAACACTCCGAAGGGTATAAATAGCGGGACCTTTCAATTAGAGTCGGATCCTTGAGATAAATGCAAGAATGACAACTGTAAAAAAAAATCAAATACTTCTTAATTTCTCAATAGTGACGGAGTAATGCGACATGCACTAAACTAAGGACATGGGAAATACTACAATAGATCAAATTACTGGTCGCAGTGGTGTTAGGTCCCGAACAGTGAAACACAATTACAATCTTCGTCCTGGTGTTACGGAACTGAAAAGTGTTTGTGATGGCGATGCTAAGCAATATGGAGACCTGTATGCGACAATGCAACGACAGTGCTGCAACCCATTGAATCTGCATACAGTTATTCGTCGCAAGAGTTTGAAACCAATTTCTGCACGGTTTCATGACGAGTACAATAAGAACTTTGCCAAAAATTATCGAAGGTCGGAAAGTATGCGTGCAATGTCATCTGACGGTTAAAAAAACATGGATAATGACCAGCCATCTGCAGGTAAAATTCATCTTGAATTATTCATTTCAATCCCAGCCGTACGAAAGCAAATTTGGGGTGCCCACTCAGTGGCACTACTTTGTTACGGCACATGGCAAAGGACCAAGCGACGGATTGGGATGAAGTTTGAAGAGATTGGAAACGCGAGCTAGTTTACAAGGAGCCACTATTCACACGCCAAAGGAGCTCTATGACTGGGCAATGAAGAATTGCAATACAAACGTTAGATTTGTGTCATCTGAGATCTGTTCCGAAGAAAAACAAATACTGTTCCACCGTTTTGCTTCAGCTGCATCTATTCCTGGTATTCGTTCAATACATGCAGCAGCTCCTTCTGGTATTGATACCATTATTATGAAAACTGTTTCAGGTGCCACAACTGGTTCAGCTTTTAGAGTTGTGGCAACGAAACGTGCAAAGCAAGTGGATTCGAATAATAATGGGAAGAAATCATCACGAAGTGCTAACATTGAGAAAAAAAAATAAGTAAATTGTAATTTATGTTTTACATTGTTATAATAAAATGTAAGAAACAAATCGATCAGTGTTCGATACAACATTTTATTGGAATGTCTTAATTTATAATGCAATTCGTTTAGATTATTACTAGTGTAAAGTTTTCAGCCACTAAATAATATTTAAATTTGTAAACACTGCATAAAAACTATTATTGGTTTTATCATACCTATTTTGTTTCCATCAAGTATTATTTAACAAAGTAAGTCATGAGAATGAATCTTATTACGAGGAAATGTTATAAAAATAACCCTCATAATTTATGACTTTCGTTCATTCAAAATGCAATATCTCAGGAACTACGCAAATTACTTTTTGTCGTTAAGTGTTCCTTATGTAAAAAAGGACGAAGAACACGATGGTGTCCCTAAAATGAAAATTAAACGACATGTATTATGAGAAAAATGCATTTAAAGTTTTCAAACAAAAATAAAAAATATTTGGCAACACTGTACAGAAACAAAAGTTACAGATTTACATTATTTGTCTAATTTCCTTATTAAAACAATACCTAATGCAATTTGTAGCTTTATTTGTTCCGGAGATATGAACAAAAGAAAGTAGTGGTTTCTAAAAAATAATGAAAAATGAAAAATGTGCCCCTTGATCGAGGGGTGCTACGATCAGCATACAACTTTGGAATTTTTGAATTCGAACTTAAATGAACATTCCCTCCAAATTTGGTCCAAATCGGAAGAGGTCAATTTCACTTTTGCAATTTTTTGTGACCACTTGGCGCGGAATGACCCATATGTATATATATATATACATATATATATATATATATATATATATATATATATATATATATATATATATATATATATATATATATATATATATCCGGAGGCCAGGCTAATCGATTTTTATGGGCTCTGGCCAAACCTTACGACAGTTAATCTAATCGAAGATATACAATCCCCAAGCAATCTGTGCTGAAGGTCATGGGCAGCGTCAGAACAAAAGTTTGTTCCATGGAGTACGTTTAACGGAACTGTGGATCTTGTTTTCATTCAATTGCAAGAGATTGTGGTTATTCGGAGTAAGACGAACAGTGGGAATAATACGAACATCTGATTTAAGTATCGAATATATTACCTTTATGTTCTTTAATGAATCTGATTTTAACGAAAGATTGCACCCAAACAATCTAAGAAATTTTATCGATAAACTGTGCCTTTAGCTAGGTTAATACGTCGTAAGAATTGACGGCTCGCCGCACATTAACAAACCTCTTGATCATGAGCACACAATGGCACCACTACTAATTAGTTGTTTGAACAAAACTTGACCCACACGTATTCCAAAGTTCTTCCGTCTCGAGTCAAGTGTAAACAGAAGACAGCCAAGCGTCTTCATCTGAACAGAGCATAATGGATAACGAAAAAAAGAAAAGGTCGACCAAAGTGTAAATTTAAAATTCAAATATTTGATGACATAAATTGGTCACCTTTCTGGTAAGCATTGAGTCAAATACGAACTGGTACAGAAAAAAGCGATGCACATACAATAAAGTTATACCCATCTTTCCGCGAGGTAGCTGCTAGAGAAAAAATGCGTATAAAACAAATATCAACCGCTTGAAAAATTAATTTATATTTGTTTTTGTTCTACAGTCTTCTCCTTTCAAATATGCTCCTGTTTCAGGAGACCTGAAATGGAAAGAAGAAATCAACGAACCGACAAGAAGCAATAAAGGTTTGTTTGTTCTTATTAATTTCATTCCGAAAGGTGTCACACAAAACCTTCATTCTACCGCTACTTTTTTCCTGTTCTTGTTCCTGACCAACCGCAGGAGCAACAACGTAAGGATGATAAAATACGATAATAGCTCTAAAGACTGCAGTTCATTCCCTGAGTAACATGTATCGTGGTAAAAGTTGTAAAACTGTTGAAAAGGGAGGATGATTGTATGATATTAATGGGAAATAAAATTACAATCATCCCGAACATATTGAAATGACTTCAGTCTGCGTTTACATCAAAACTTAGTATACCAAAAAGGTATCCATGATCTAAGGAAAACTTCAGGGATACGACAGATGTTTTGAAAAAGGATAGAGAGAAATAAAGTGTAAAAGGAATATGGAGAAAAGTGTGAGGATCGTAAAGTTTCGGGAAATCAAACGCAAGCTTCAAAATTGCACACAAAATCTTCAGTATGTGGAACTATAATTATGATTAATAGATTGATCACAACCTTAGACCAGCGTCCGCCGAAGCAGACCGACTGACGGGTTGACTTGACTGACGGGTTGACTGCATCTCACTCCGACAGTTGCCTGATGTCCTTAATTTAATATCTGTTATTATGGTATTTTCGGATAATCGCTATTATCTTTTGGGTGTATACGGCCACGTTCTCCTACTCTTGCTCTGCCGAGCGTCGAATAAAGGAAGCATTCAATTTGAGCGTATCCTCGACACTTAAAAAGGTTGTAATTTTATAAATTCTCACAATTTTTTGGACTTATAATTAAGAATGCTGATGTTTGTTTCTTCCGAGGCCCTGCATAAACGAATGATTTATGGCCTTTTAATATGCCAGTCAGTAGGCTAAGCTCTGGCTACACGCTGCACAAAACAGAGGACAACGTTGACCACGAGTAAGAGGACTCACACTATACGGCGATGATGATCCGTACAACAAGCATTTTGCAAGAGGGCGGGTGCCATTTTTGTGGGCCGTCGCCAATTACTACTGAAGAAAGATTAGGATCGTCGATAACTTACCCATAAATAGCTTCTTTATCACGTTTATGCACATCTGGTTGCACTGCACCCATGTGACTCGTGGCTGGTGATACATGACTAGAGGTTCCATGGTAACCATGCATGCCGACTGATGCAGCCGCAGCGTGGTTCATGTGAGGTGAGTGATGTGGAGGTAAACCGGATAACCCAGGTGGCCTATGGCCTGCGTGGGGGTCGTACATTGCCGCTGCGCCACCGTCCATTCCGTAGCCGTGCAGGCCATCGTCGTACTGTAAAAAAATCAAAACAACACTCGGTTAAACATTATGAATAAAACAATGCATCAATGCATTAGTGAATGCTGAGATACATTCAAAACCAACGAATGCGCCAAATGATGAAAGCTTCACTGTAAACTCTGACTGCTTATCTGGTAAGCATCACACAACTAAATTAATTTTTCTGTCATAAAACTTTATGGCCACTTTCCTATATGAGCAAAACGCTGGAAGCAACCATCAGGCATTTGATAGGGAACAGCAGCTAGCGAATGTTTGGTGTAGAGCTTAGAAGGGCGTACGAGAAGTGCCGTAAAACAAATGAACGAAAGTAACGTTATGAGTACATTACCTATATCCATCATCATCATCATCGTTAAATTTGTGATGTTGAATGGGAAGTGAAGAAAAACGTTAAAAATATTGAGAAAATTTAGCTCAAGCCGACTGCGAATCTTCATTAAACTAGCGATTTTATTCGAAATGTAAACACATTGAACAATTATCAGTAGATCAAACACACACACACACACACACACACACACACACACACACACACACACACACACACACACACACACACACACACACACACACACACACACACACACACACACACACACACACACACACACACACACACACACACACACACACATAGACACACACACACACATACACACACACACACACACACACACACAAAAGACACACACACACACACACACAAAAGACACACACACACACACAGACACACACACACACACAGACACACACACACACACACACACACACACACACACACACACACACACACACACACACACACACACACACACACACACACACACACACACACACACACACACACACACACACACACACACACACACACACACAAACCACGTACACGCAAATCAAAAACAGGACTATTTAATAAGTCAAAAATCCTAATAATGTGGCCTGTGCACGTTGTATGATGCAAGTGAAACTTCAACCTACAAACCCATTCCGATAATGATTAAACATTACGGTAGTTTAAAATATGTATGTCACTGTAGAGCGGGACAGACACCCTCGGCTACTACTGGCACGGCACATTGCGCATCCAAAGCTTATAACTCTCGCTTGCTTCTATACTCCACATATTGTCATAAGACAGGGTGGCCACTGGATTTAAGAATAGAAATTTCCTGTTTGTTTCTTGTTTATCCCGGTTGTCAAACTTAGTTTTCCGGATTAGCTTAATAACTTAAGGAATTAAATCTGTAAATGTGAAATTAAAATCCGTTGCTCCATTATAAGTTGGTGTATTATGCGATAAAACAACTAAGCACTTCGAAAAAAATATCAGACTCTGAAGTGCCTGAGACTAAGGACTTTTTTATGATTCCTTATCCCAGACCAGGCATGGAAAATCTTTTGCATTCATTTCGTGCATTCATTTACATTCATTTGCCCCTAACTTTTTTCATCAACAGAATTCCACAAAATAATGTATGGCGCTTTGTAGGTTTTGTGATTAGCTTCAACTTTTGTTAACAACTCAAATCCGTATCTCTTATGCATGAAGAACCAGAGCGAACAGAATTCACTATTGTTTTTCAGTGAATGTATTTTACATTCACTGAAAAACAGTAACAAGTTCTGCTCGCTATAATTTGTGATATATAAGAGATACAGATTTGAGTTATGGGTAAAAGTTGTAGCTAATAACAAAACCTACTAAAGCTTTATACATAATTTTGCGGAATGCTGTTGATGAAAAAAGATAGAGGCAAATGAATGTAAATGAATGCATGAAATGAATGTAAATGATTTTCCATGCCTGTCCCAGACTAACTAAAAGTAAGTCGTTGCGTTAAGTGTTTTAACTCTGAAAACTACAAATTAGTTATATCAACAAGTAGAGCAAAGTACATAAAACAGAGAAAAAAAATTACATACAGGTAGCAAATTAACAGAATTCGATTGTAATTAAATCATATTTTGAGATTGTAATTAAACTCCCGATTTTTTCGGTTTGTTACGATTCCCGTTTAATGCCCAGTTCATCCGGGTTTCCCGGTTGAGTGACCACACTGATTAGAGCTGTATCGTCTTCCTAAATTCTCTCTTTTTATGATTGAGGTTATAGCTTTCAGCTTCTTATGATTTAAAAAACGGGTTTTAAGTTAGCACCCGACGTTTCGGTCATAACTATTGTGAGTTGACAAAATGAAAGCTGCGTGTCCTCATGAGTTCCAGCCTCCAACCTAATGACGCTTATGCTTCGTTTTGCTTTAGTGTGCCTTTATTTTTTTATTAGAAGACTGTCCTGTTTTAGAATATTTCATTGTTATTTTGTTTTTTTAATTCCATAGCTCCAAAATATGTCAGATGAACCATAAGCAATAATCAATAAACAATAGGTTCCAACCTCACGCCTCCTCGAGTCGACTACCAGCTGAAACATGGTCATAGCTAAAAGGCCTAGTCTGGGAAATGTTGTCAAATTCCGGAACGGTTACTATAGCACGGTGATAGAATAACCCTCAATCCCGAGCACCTGTTCATTTAGGTGTAGCTTAAACAGCGTCTAGCTGGTATCCATCGGCTGAGTAAATAAATGCTTATCCCCGTAAGCTACACCTAAGATGTAAGCCCCATCGTGGGAAAAGAGAATTTACGCGAACCACCTATTGTCTTCAAAATCTACAAATTGTTACAGAAACCAACTGTCTGGCAACGACTTTTAGTGTACCACTGAAGCCCAGGATACTTAAGTGTTAAGTAACTTTGGAAAATTCCGCATTCTTTGCTATTTACGATTTGCTAGGTGATTGGCCAAATTTATCAAAATAGCAGATATAGTCTTCTCCATTGTTGTGAACAAATTTTGTGATTGGTGGAAGTTTCGGAAAAAAACACGATAAGGACATATAACATTAGAGTGCCCCAAAAAGTATAAACACACTTTCAACTCACCGCTATTTCTATCCCGTTGACGTTTAAGAGCTGTTCGACAATATTGCTCAGCTAGTCTGTGTGTCGAAAGGGCATTTTATTTTTGAAATTCTCTAAATGTGAGGTTTCCCATAAAAATTGGAAACGGATCGATCCCTATCTAACTAGTCCGGAGATGCCATTGATCGAAATGTAAGTATCGGAGCAGCCATTGATCGGTGAAGTGGTTACCTTCCAGAACACACCGAAATCTGTCCAAAAACCGCGACCTGTGTACTGATGCTGAATCGGTAGATCACGCAAGTGATCGTCAATAATAAAAGTGACCATGCTCGTGTGCCTATATACTGGGAGTAACGTCCAACGTTCCAAACTATGAAACAAAGACGTTCAAGAAATAGAAGGAACCAAAATGGAGACATATTAAACCATCATCTGTCAAACCAAGGACTCGGAACTCGGAAGCTATACGATATGCTGTGTGTAAAATGGACATGTGTTATTATCGTCGATGACAAACATGACAAAATTCATGCCCAAAGAAATAAACTCTCCAACTGTCCGGAGGCCAGGCCAATAGAATTTTTTTGGGCTCTGGCCATACCTTAAGACAGTTAATCTAATCGAAGATAGATTGTAAAAAAAAGTGATCAAAACAATCCCCAAGCAATCTGTGCTGAAGCTCATGGGCAGCGTCAGACCAAACGTTCGTTCTATGGAGTACGTTTAACGGAACTGTGGATTTTTTAAAATTCAATTGCAAGAGATTATGGTTATTCGGAGTAAGACGAACAGTGGGAATAATACGGACATCTGATTGTTTGAAGGCTTAACTATTGAATAATCGGATTTTCGTCACACCCTAAGAGGAAGAGGAGACAATACGGGGGCGAAAACGAACGACTTTTCTGTCAAACGCGAACCAGATCGAGATTGGCCGATTTGAAGTGCGTAAGATAGAGATAGAGATAGATATAGATAGATATAGAGATCGAGATAAAAGAGTAAGAAGCCAGTTGTCTCCTCTTCCTCTTAGGTCACACCCGCTCTTAATTAATGATATTTAATGCATTCTACAATATTCTACTTGTCACGGGAGCCGTCAAATGTAAAAATATAAACAAAAACAAATTTATGCCTCTAGCGGTAATGTGATGTAAATTTCGGTGTACAATTCCTATGGTTGTATAGCACCAAAACAGTAACATACTCTACTATCCTGTTCCTGGACATCTTCTAGATGGCTTGTTGGGATTTGTAGTTAAATTTTGTTATTACGTTTGCTAGTGAGGCATTTTTGCAAATAGTTTACCATCGAGGTAAGACGGACAGTGCCAATAACTCATAAGAAATATATTTTAATTTCCAATATTACTTTCTCTCATAGATCCCCAGAACATAGAGCAAAAGAGTAAGTGCCCCGAAGACACCAGGAAGATTTAACGTAAAACTATGTTTTTATAAGGGTTTGCGGTAAGAGAAATGTTACGCGTAATGTGACCTTATAGTACTGCTTCGGAGAGGTCTATTTTGGAATTTTATGAAATAGCCTTGAGCTTCAAAAACTTATAACATTTCAGAAGAAAGTCTTAAGAGTGGGAATTTATTTTCTATTGAAGACAGTTCAACCTAAGGAAGCCACGTCCCAAATGCATTTATAAACGCACGACGTACAATGCCATGGTAATGCAATCGCTCCGTTCGATAGATAAAAATGAAAATGAATTCAATAGAAGCTGGAATGAAACTTCGACGACCATGTTAACTGTATGCATCAGAACGCATCGTTTCTCTGCACATATGAGCCGTTCCCTCTAGCATGTGGCAGCCATTCCGTACCACACACTCAACGGCTCACCGGCAACAACGGCGCGGCGGTGGCGGCGTCATCAACGGCGATCGCAGCGATAGCGTGAAATTAGATAGAGCGTAACGGTTCGTTGCAATGCGTAAACAAATCAGCTCACGATGCCGGCTCATTGGAGTGTCTGATGTGTGTTAATTTAATTAATTTAGCAATTTATTCATCTTGGAAATGCTGGAGGAAAAAATGGGCTAAAATAAGT